GCAAACGAATCGAACATTGCTGTAGGCAGCCTTGCTTTTTAATAATTAAAGCCTTTTACATTAAACTGTAGATCAATAACAAGGTTACCTGTAGCTTCAGGAATATCAAGATCAGGGTCAAGAAACTCGCAACTGATACTCTGACCGAGCTTTTTGGCATTCAAATCTTTCAATTGGTCAGTAAGTTTAATTAAATCTAAGTTATAACTGCTATATTATGCATTATTTAACCGCCAAATATATTTGTAAAATAATTTGAAAATTTCCCAGCCCACCAACCTATTAAATGCGCTAATATAAACAAATGAAAATAATCAAACAAATCCGGAACTTAACAGGTGCTGCCAGTTTTCACACTCCACCATGGCGAAATGCCGGATAATTGAGCGAATCGACAAAGAGAAGTTTACTCATAAATTTCAAATTTTTTAATTACTTTTTAATAGAGATATATTAATGCCTCTATTATAGTGTTTAAACAACGATTTTTCTTTTATCATGTTTTATTCAGACACTTCTCCATTCATTTTCCTCTTACTTTAAATTTTTCAATCATAAAAATTGTAAAAAAAATCAAGTGGCTGCGCCTCCCAGCTAACTAGTTGTACATATAATTTTCCAAAGTTTTTCCAAATAAAACTCCCCAACAGCAATCAAACGACACGCAATGTCTAGGAAAAGAAAATAACAAAAAAGCTATAAAAAGTTGCTTAAATTGCTGAGAAAAAAAAAGCAATTGCAAGTTCAATGCCATGCAACTGTTAAGTTTTAAATAAAGAAAAAACGCAGGCGTAGGCAAGTCTTGCAAGGAAAACCGGCGTTGCTCAAAAGCCATGTGCAGTGTACATACATACAAATATTTAATAGAGTGACTAAAATAACAACAACAACCGTAACAGCAACTACACAACTGCACCAACTGTTACTTGTAACTAAAAGCGGTTGTGACAACCAATAAACGCAACTGGTAGTAATAAATCGGTCGCTTTTTATATCCCAACAAAGCGAATGTGGAAGTGCCTGCCGCCGCATGTGGCAGCAACAGCAAGTAGCATGGCAACAAATTATAGTTGTTGGCTGCATTTGTCAACCACATTTGGACACTTCTAATTTTCCGTTTCAGTTAATTTAACGAAATACGGTTTTTATTGCCGAGCTTCGTATTTATTTCAGGTATTTCTTGCTATTTCTCGCTGCAACAATGACATGAGTCTGCTGGCTGGCTGGCTGGCTGGCTGCCTGCCTGACTGACTAGTCGTGCAGCACGTGAATATTATATTCAATTACCATAGCAACAATGAAGCTGTTTCTGGTTTTAGTATAAAAATAAATGCATAAAAAAAATACTTAATAATAATAATTTTTAAAACCATATCGCTTACAATGCAAACATACACATACTACTTTTGACAGCCGCAACAGCGCTGGCAGCTTGTCAGCCGCTGCAGCTGATATATTTATTACTTTAATTTGTTGTTGTGGCACTATGGAAAACAGTTTGAAATAACGATAGGGTAATTTTTATTACTAAATTATTAAACTAGTATTGCCAAGTTTTTGAAAATATTTTCCAGTTTCGGAAATACTAGAAAATAAAAACGTTTCATTTACAGTCCAGTTTTATTAAATAGACAATCTGTTGCAAATTATAGTCTCTACAAGTAGTTAATTGCTTCCTCTTCTACCACCAACTGGCCCTACATCAAAGCCTTAAAATTCGACCGGCCTACATATCGGAGGCGCTCTACTTCACTATTCTATTTAGAATAGGCAGAACTTACAGCGCACAGTAGTTAAAAACCTGACATTTGCTCTTCATAATTCACTGGAGTCTTCATTTTGCACTCCAATTTCATTATTTTTTTTTTAATGAAAGCTTATAAATTTACAAGAGACTACTAGAGTCCGATGTTTGGATTTTCATTTACTGGTAATAAATTTTTTAGTACAAACTGCAGAAAAGTAGCAAATTTGAAGAAGATCGATTAACGTGTTTCAGTTAATAATAAGAACTAGTTGAAAACAATTCTAGGGTTCCCCCAAATGAAAGAAAAATCCAAAAAAATATTTAAAATGTTTATAAAGAAAATTATTAATTAAAAATTAAATTTTTGCATAGTTCTTGGAAAAATGTTGGGTATGCAGTGAAGTGCAAGTTTTAAGTGTATGCGTTAATTATTAATAATTTTTTTCGCTAACATTTCGAGCAAATCTGCTTGCTAAATGGTAAATAAAAGCATTTGTTATATTATTAAAAATCAACGTGAACTCTTGGCCACTTGCAACTTGCTCTTTCCAATACTAAAATTTCGTAAGCTATAAAACTGCATACACAAATTTTTCTAAGAACTAAAAAAAATATTTTAATTTTTATGAATTTTTTACCATTCAAATTGTTTTTAAAATTTTTTTGAGTTTGGGGGAACTCTACGTTTGTTTCTAACTAGTTTTCATTATGTAACATTTATAAACTGGAACAGGAGAATCCATTTTCATAAAAATTGCAACTTTTTTCACTAAAAAATTTAATATAAACATATAAGAATTCAAAAATCGGACCCAACTGGTCTCTTACTAATTTTATGCACTTTCATAAAAAAAAGTATCAAATTCGTTGAAAAATTAAGGCTCCATTCATTTATGAACATTAGATTCCAGTTTTTAGCCACTGTGCAGTTTTGTGCCTTTTTAGAGGTCGATGTCAGTCTTGAAGAAGGGCGTAAATGTATATTTCAAATTTGCTGCTCGCATCACTTTTACCAGAATTGCACCATGGGGAATTACCTTGACCTGGTTTCGAACGGCTGCAAGGTCTTGCAGGAATGGCTATTTATAGCCATTTTCTTCAAGTATTTCGCAAAACTTTGAATACAACATTTGGCCTGTTTAAAGTAAAGCAAAACTCCATACGAATCAGAGGAATTCGACCTTATTAAAGATTTCGACCTATTTTGGCCGAACCGCTTTTTCGGAGCTTTTTTTTGGACTCAGCAAATTTTCCTTTCTAGACTCCTGTAGCAAAATATGAGTTTTCATAAAAAGTGAAGTTAGCAACCTTTTACTCTAAGCTAGCGATAATCAACTCATATTGGTGCTATCTCAAGAGACTCTAAAATCGAAGTGTGTCGACTCAGGTACTATTTTACACTATTTTACACCGAGGTTTACACCGATATAGATTTGTCTTGTTATATGCATGGACGACGAAGTTCGGGTAAAAAAACCATTCGTGGGGAACGAATGCAAGGCCGTTGACGAACTTAGTGAACGGTCAAATGCAGAAGCGCCTGTCCGCACTTAGGGTGAACAACAATCGCAAATCCGCAAAGCAACCAGGCAACTGGAGAAGTTTTTAGTCTCGCCTCAAACCGAAAAACGGACAAATAATAATAAGAAGCAGAAGAAGTATGCAAACAGCAACTAAAATCTTTTTTTAAGGCTCACCAAAGCCATTACTCAAGTAGCACACTGGTATATAAAATGGTGTAAAGTTACGAATTTTGGTATAAATCTGATTAATTGTACCAAAATTCACAAATCTAAACCAAGTTTACACCAGTGTGCTACTTGAGTATATGGGGAACTTAACTTAAATTATATTATATAATGGTGGCACGCAACGCAGTGGACCAATTTTCAACCACTCTCATCACTATCTTCTCTTCAAACACCCTTAAAATTCAGAAACCAAACACTTTTACTAGCTTCTTCAATGAAAAGTTAGCGTTAAATACAACTTTAGTATGAATTTTTTTTCTAAAAGATTGTTCGAATTTGTGTAAATTTTTTTGACTTAACAAGTCAAAAACTCACAACATTATTAAAGTTTAACAGATCCTAGGGCGGACATATCAAAATCTGATGCGGTTGCAGTGCAAGAGAAAACTTTGATGAGATGCAAAAGTAAAAATAAAATGAATAAAATTGTATTAATTTATTGCTTCATGTTAATGGATCAACCTTTCTCCACGCATGTACTTGCACAGAAACATGGAAACAAACTCAAAAATAAATGACCACATCACATAAGCACCATAAAACCGAAAGCTAATTACCGCTTGGGTTCCAGCCATCGCCATCGCTTCTTCGCTACTGGCGAAAAAAGTAAAAACAAGCCAACAATGACAAATTGCTGAAGAGAATGGTAATAAAATACTAAATGATAATTAAGCTGGAAATTACATACACAACGGCGATAGCAAAGCTGAGGTAAGCGAGGAAGTAAATAAAACCAAAATATATAAAAACAATAGCGTAATCTTGAGTTATTTTCTTTGAGAAATAAAAAAAAAAAATGATACATAAATGCAAGGCGAGAATGAGACAAAGCCGAATTAGGAAGAAGCATTACGGCACCATACGAATTTCAAAGGCCTCTGCTTTACTTAAAAAAAAAACTTAAGAAGCGAGCTCGACGTATATAAATCAGCTATGTACCTCGTAATATGCTTTTAAAATCGGCACCAAGCTCAAAATCGCTACGTTTCGATATTGTTTTAACAACGCGTGCAACTTATTTATAACTGCGAGAAGCCAGCTTTTTCCCCCAGCACAGCTGTTGTGTGAAAATAAGTAAACAAAAGACTTAAGGCACAAACTTGAGTTCACAAAAATATTACAGATTGCCAAAATATCTCAAACAAAACATCGTTCGAAATTTTTAAATGCTCACCAGCAACATTTCGTTTATTTGACTCAAATTTCGGCAGCTTTTGTTAACTTTTATTGCACTCAGAGAGCGATCGTTTGAGTTTAGTTGGCAAATGAGCGAAAGAAATGCGGCGAAAGAAGTTGCAGAGCGACTTTTGCCTGAGCCATGTGTTTTCTTAACTTGGCTTAGCTGATTTCTTTACTATGTTTTTCACAGCGCTTTGACTCATTTCTTCGTTGCTGCTTGCTTGCAGAGTAAATGCCGCATGCTTTTGTGGCAAGCTAGCTGGCTGCTACATGCTCGTCGCTGGTGTTTGCCTGACTTTAGTTCTGACTTGAATTTTCCGCTGAACGGTTATTGTGGCAAGCGTGGTAATGTGGTGGTGGCGACTAGCGTGCTCAAGTGCTTTTTAAGAGGCAAATAAAATGCACATTATATGAAATAACAGAAAGTGTATGGATTTGAAACGAAACGAACGAAAATTACAAATTTAAAAAAAAAATAATAATTTACTAAATTAAATAGCCACAAAAAAAATGTCGGAAATCAAAATATAAAGTGATTGCCAAAAGAGCAAGGATTTGGCTTTAACACTTTGAAATTAAGCTAGCGGCATTAAAAACCAAAATAGCTAAAAATGAATTTATTGAAAAACCTAAAAAATTATAGCATAAACGAGTATAAAGTGTAACCGAATTCTGCATCCAATTGTATCAAAATACCGAAAAGAAAGTTTCAGTGTAATTACATAGTGTTGTTGTGCCTCCACTGTTGCCACTACGCATTCGCATGCCATCTTCGTAGTCATTGCCACCACTTTTGCTTTCGGTGCGCAAAACTTTATCATCGTGCGCGCGTGTGTGTGTGTGTGTAAGCGCGTTTTGTTTATTTGCTTTGCTGCTCGAGTAACGACACAAAAAGTGAAAGTCCTCGCCACGCAGGAATTTGCAACGCTTATGAGTCTGCAACGTCTTGAAGCGTAGTGCCTTTAAATTTTATTGAAAGAAAAAGTGCTTCTTTTCAACAAATTTTCCTCAGTGAAGTGTTTTGTTTAACTATAGTATAACAAAAAATATAAATATAAAACCAAAATGTCAAAGTTCACTCGCCGAAGACGCTATGCCAAAAAGGATACTTGGCTGCGAGTGCTACACGTTGTGCTCTGCCTTAGCTTGCACATCTGCAACATAAATACTCTGGCGCATCCCAGTCCAGCACAGGAGCATGATATGCTGATATTGGACGCGCTGTCGAGACGCAGTAGCGGCGGTGGTGGCTACTACAGCGAGGATTCAGTCATGGATATGCTGGCGAGAAGTAGTTTAAAGCAATGAATATTTATTTTAATTTATTTCTTTCAATTCAACTCTGTAGTAGAAACACGTTTTTCGAAAACGAATGAACAAATTTTGGTTCGCGTTTTAGGCTTCGTTTTCTGAGGCCACAAAGCTTGTGTGACTTTATTATTTTTATTTTTTTTTTTTAATACATAGCGCAGATTTGAGAAATGTATTAAAATGCACTATGTCAATTCAAGTTATCTTCCTAATATTTTGAAAAGTTTAGTTAGTGTAGGACAATACATATTTTTTTCTTTTGTTTTTTAAATCATTTCCTTTGCTGGTAGGAAGATTATTCTCGAGTTCCCGTACAAAACCCCGATGTCCGTATGTTGACGATTAAAGTCTGAGATACCAGCGCACTTGCAAAAATGAACTTTCAGTCCTTGGTAATTGATAAAGAAAACTTTAATTCAAATATCGGTGTATTTTGCTTGCGTAAAAAAATAACGACAACTGCTTAAGAGGTAAAGGAAGCATTGTCTGTGCCACGTGTTGAATGCTAGCTACACAGGCAATCTTTTTCAAGTTTTAAAGTTGCTTTAAATATGTAGCATAGCAAACATTTATTTAAAAAAAATTTGAAAAAGAAAAGTTGTTCTTATTTTTTGCTTTCTTAAAAACGAATTTTAAATAAGCTTTTGAAATGTAGATCCATTTACCATTTCGAGGGCAGAATTCAATAAAGAGAGAAAGCGGATTGCAGTTTAGTTACTCCAAAGCTTGCTCCTTTTAACTATTCAGCAGAAAAAGTAGACAATTTTGACATTTAAGATTTGCACTTGAAATTAATAACCATTGTTTGCATTCGTTTTTATAACTAACTGGCATTTTTTCTTCCTTTTTCGCATACTTAAAAATCTGAAGAATTTAAACTTTTTTAATAAAACCACCAATTAAAAAATGGCCCCGTTAGGCACCACTGTGGTCATGGATAATGATTTTTTTGACGTAGAATACGTCTTACCTTAAGGTATGGGGGCTATGTTCAAATGTTGTAGCTGTAATTTTTAGAGCTTCACAAAAACGCTTATTGCACGAGAACTAATAAAGCGATTTCAAAGAAAAGTGTGGCGTTTCAAAGATAAAATTCCAAACCTGTCGACAGATTCATTTTTGTAAATAACCAATTCGGTTTCTGTCGTAAAAACAACGGTAAACATTGCCTTATTTTGGGGTCAATTTTGAGCCTTTAAAGTGCTCTAGCAACTTATTGTTGGCATATATAACTTTCATTTTCGGGATATAGGTTCTTTGGAGCAGTAGAAATATTATCGGGTACAAATTTTATATAAATTTAACAAATATTGAGCATTTTAAGGCAAAAAATTGTTGAAAAAATTTGCAAATTTTTTTCATTACCAAAATGCTCGAAAACCGCTCGAATGATTTTGTTTTTGTTTTCTTTAATCAAAAATTCAAGAGTTTTCCTTTCGTTTGGTATATGGGAAGTATTGGTTGATATCTTCTATATATGTTTATTTTATTCAAATATATGGGCATAAATGATTTTCCATACAAAATCACCTCGTCATCATTTTGCAAACACGTGCATATGTTGGAAGTGTGGGAAGGAGACAAAAAGTATGTATGCGTATGTAATGCGGCTTTTGATAAACAGAGGCGCGCTATTTATAACCTAATCGCAGCGTGTGTACATATGTAAATACATACATACGTACATATGTTGATTGCAGTTAATGTGGATCTGTTTCTATTCTTAGTGTGTGATTTCGTTTTTGACTTGGATATGCTCTTAACCATACCACGTATTCTACGTTTAAATATAGCGGCTGTATCTCCGATACAGCCTGCAGACCAAGACGAAGGCGCTGGACTGTTCCTTTTTTTTTCTTTTTTGTTTGAAAAAATATTAAAATTTTATGACAATCAACAAAAAATAATCATTTCTTAAGTCATATTTTTACTACTTCTTCAGCCATACTAGGTGTTTTTCCAAAACATGTAATATTTATTGCTATTTGTGTAAATCGGAATGAAAGCCTTACCTGGGCACAATAGGCGAGCCTCTACAGCCTCTATGCCTATAGAGGCATAGCCTCTAACAAGCTAATACGTACTTATTTTGTAAATCGTGTTTTCTTAAGCATAAATGTAGATTTACAAGTCGGTTGTTTTTTGAACAGAAACAAATAAAAACAAGTAAGAGCAGCGCTGTCTTCGGCTATGCCGAAGGCTTCATACCTTTCATGAACATCTGCAAATTTTACTTTGACAGATTACTGCTTTTGAATACATCTGCATACATCGATAGAGGAGTTACATACTTATATAAAAAATCGCATCTAAACAATCAGAGGTATGGAAGATATACT